CCTGTTAGTTTTCTTTCTTAAAGCAGAGAGTCGGTATCAAAGAAAGTTCAAGGACATACACAAGGAATGTCCACCTGCACACTGGTTCAGGGCAGAGGGACCATCATTTCAGCACAAATGCTGTATCTTAAATTCTCTTAATCTATAGGAGAACTGGGTATTATTCCATTTTCATATCTATAAAGGAGGTAAAGGAAACATAACTAACGTAGAGTTTACTTTACTAATCCAATAGGTAATAAATACATTACTCCATTTGCGCAGCTCATTTCTTTGTTCTCTGATCACACACACAGCTGACAGCTGTTCTTCACAATTCCTAAGATGTTAATTACATTGCCATTTTGGGGGGTTACTTCTTGTATTTTCGTACATTAAATTCAGGCCTGCTAAGAGAGTTCAGATTAAAGATAGTTGCACTCAAGTGGGGCCTCACACAGATGTGTGGCATGAAGCAGCTTCCTTCCTACCTCCATGCTTTACACAGACCTACGACCAGCATGGGCCTGCTACACTCTCTGTGCTCTCAAACAGCCCTTTTTCACCACCAGAAATACAATAAAGTTTAGAATGCAGCCACTAGGCAACTCTGAATGAATGAGCCAAAAGCAAAACTGTAACAACAGACAAGAGTTTCCCTGAGCGTATCATGCCAGAAATAAAAACTGTGCTCCCCCTGCCTCAGAGACTTTATACTGTTGAGAAAATGGATTGTGGTTTCCTACAGCATCTCTTCTAATTGTGTTCCCTTTGATCAGAGCAGGAGATAAGTCCTTTGCAGAGCATGAAAAGATCTGACGCTGCCTATGAAAATCTCACTGCTTCTCTCCAGTTGCGAAACAGATATCGAGTGCCGGTTGGGAACAAGAGGAAAATAACAAAGTGAATATCACATCCCAAGGCAGAAGTTGCTCATCATGTGTTTTTTGAAGGAAAAAAAGGTACATACAAATCTGTGTTTGCAAATGTGTGTGCTCAGGTGCCTTGCTCTGAAATTTTGAGGAGATTCTATAAGTTTCAGGCTAGAATACTTCGCCTGCATAACAGTTGCAAAATCAAGTCCTGGAAGCAAAACCAACCAAAAACCTGCAGGGATTTGCAGAACTGAAGTTCCCACTGCAAACCATCACTTTTACTGTATTGGGAAAAAGGGAAGAGTACCATAAAATTAAAATCTTTCCTTTTAGAACATCACTGGCTGCTGCTAAGAGCCATAAGGAATATCAGCATCTATTTGTTGTTTTCCAACTCTCCTGTCCTCCCTGTTTTCAGCAGCTCTGCACAGATCAGTCTGGGAGAACACCTTCTTATTGCAGTTTGAACGCCTAGAAGCTCAAAGGTATATTCAATCCTGCTGCCTTCATTATTATTTTAATCTCCTTATTATGCAAGTACTATTTCCTCCCTGTCTCACTTGGCTTTTCCTTGGCTTGGTGCAAAGCTGGGTAAATGGGAGCCTGCACACTGAAAAACTATCACAGTAGTGAGGGTACATTCAGCACACATACAGAGCCGTGGTAGTGCCAGCAAAAGGGATGCACAGCCCCATTGCAGACCCTACAAAAAACACTATTAAAAAGAGTTTTAAAAACTTACCTTCTTTCAATCTAGGATATCCTCTCCTGATTAAAGTAATTATAGGAAATCAAATGTAGAACTTTACAATGGTACCACAAACAGATACAAAACACTTCATTTCATACTTCTCTTTACCTATAAGAAAAAAAAGGTCTTGGATCAGAGCAGATAACAGAAGCCTGTGTATCTCTGTCCAAAACCACTTATCCTCATACTGGAAGACCTTTGTGTCAACCACATCCTTTAAATGCAAGTATTTATCTGCTAAATTCACATCTGAAGGGGAAAAAAAGTACTACTTTACATAATAAAGCTACTTTCATCCCTTCTCTTGCTATGTAGTAAGCAGCACTGGCAATGGGAACACTTGTGCAGAAGATAACACTGTGCCAGGGACCCCAAAACCCCCTGAACCACAGTGTGGGTGTTGTGGACAGGCTCTAGTCTGGCCCCTGGCTGAATGCCCTTCAGCTACAGGAGTGCATTAGCTGTGCTCCCAGAGTGCATCTCCCTGTTGTGCTTCACCCAGGAGGAAAGCAGTCTCCACACTTTGCATCACTGAGTGATTTTCCACGCACAGAAAGCATGGCTGATTAGGAAGTGAGCTTCAAAAACAAACCAAAACAAGGCACTGTCAGAGACCCTCCCTTCTTTCACACAGCAGCTGAGACAGAGCTCCAGTGAGAAGAGAAACACGAGGAACTGAATTTCAGGTGCAGGACCTGTTGAGGGAACACAAGAAACTCAGCACAGTCTTCCACCTTCTTAGGAAGGCTCAGGTTCTGAAAGAGAAGCTCCCTCTCTGTTAACTGTCCCACTCACACCTGTGAAAGATCTTTTGGTACTCAGCACACAAACATGCAAATCCCCTCTCCCAACACCTCCCTGGAGTGCAGCCCTGAGCAGACACAGCCACCGCAGCCCCACCAACCGTACAACAGCAGCTGGGTAGGACTGAGCGTGTTTGCTCCACTTGGCATCACTCAGGGGACATCTGGGGATGTTGCTCCAACACACTGCCCCTGTTACAGCCTCATTCCCCATCTGTGCTCAAGCCACACCACTAGACAGCCTCGTATCAGTTCCTGAGGTTGATGCCTCTCTACCTCCAAGTAGAAATTCCTTCCTCAAATAACACCTAAGGAGAACAGAGCAGGTACATCACTAAATGCTTCCAGGGATTTCCTGGGGCGCATGGACATCGCTACAACATTCAGACAGAGAAGCCTTTGGGAAAGGGAAGTTTTCAGCCTGTGCTTTCCATGCTGACCCAAGTTTGGTTAGTTCCTAAAAATGAATGAATGACATACTATAGTTATATATTACACTACATAATACTCTAGTTTCCCCTACCGCCTACTCCAGTCACACACTCTGGGAAGCAGAAGGGCCCCTGCTGAAATGGAAACTCCATTTCAAGCACATTGGTTGAAAAGGAACAAACAGGAGGGTATCTTGCATATTCACAAAGTGTTTCTCAGCAAGTTTTACAGATAGCCCAAACCCACTATAATTATAGTTTAAAATAGTTCTACTCAAAATCATTGTGCCTGACCTAGTCTAGCACCTGATATTTTAGGCTCAGCCTGGAACACAAGAACCACCAGTCCCTTCACCAGCTCTCACTGGTGCAAGAAGACCATCTCTGAACAACTTTTCCACTGATGCCTTAGGCCAAGGGGCACACACCCATGCTTGCAGCGACTTGGAGAAGTTTAACCTTGAGCACGACTCATGCGGACAATCCAGAGGACATCAACATGGCACTGTTCATCCCAGCCTGCCTGTTCCTGCTCCCCTACACGGTCCTGGAGCTGTTCCTAGAGTCCCAAGCCCCATCCCTTCATTTAGCAGCAATCACAACTCACTGTGCTTTGCATAAAGCAACCAAATGTTGCTTTAACAGCTCCTACCCTTTTGCCTCTCCAGTCCTCTTGGGAGGCAGAATCAAGATTTCACTGCTCTAATGGTTAGAGACCTCCCAGCCTCCCACTAACATTTATTCATTGGTTATTTGTTGTGCTGTGCTACCCATTAGCTGAATGAGCTCTCCTCGCTTCACCGGGTTCACACTGCCAATGTGCTGATGGACAATCATCATCATTTCTCTTCCTGCTTGTCAAGACATCCAAGCTTCTTTCAGCTCCTCTAAAATGGGCTCATTATTCCTGATCACTGAACAGGCAGTTCCAGCTCAAGCTCATCTCTCCCGAGCAGGGACACCTGGAAACGCACACACTTGTACCTAGGCCTGGCTGCCTCCTCCACCAGGGATCTGTCTGGGTAACGGATCACATTTGCTCTTCTCACAGCTGTGCCCTGCTGGCAGCTCCCAGCCGTCCTCTCTGCAAGCTGGCACGACCTCAGTCGGGCTGAAGCGCTCGCCTTACAGTGGAAAGTCTTTTCCCAAGTACATGACCTCGCTTTTCATCTGATTAAATTTCATCCTGCACCCACTGCTCCAGCCCTCCAGCACACTCCGGTCCTCCCGTCCCGACCCTTCCCTGCATTGCTGAGGGTACAAAACTGAAGCTTTGCAAGATTTTAGTAACACCCTGCGGTACTTTGTGGCTGCTACGGACAGCGTTAAGGGCCAGTCCGAGACCAGGGCGGCCTCCTCCCCCCGGCCCACGTTACCGTCTGTCCATACCTCTTCTCCCCAGGACACGCAGCTCCGCAGTGGCCGCTCCAGTCACGGCAGAGCATGGAGACCTCCCCTCTGCCTGGAGAAGCTGCGTCCTTCCTGAGAGTTAACCGGGGATTTATTTTCACCTCTCTGGTCAGCAGCGGATGGTGCTGGACTTCTCCTGCGTTCCCCCCGCGCTGAGTGTCCCCACGCCTCCCGCTGGCCCCGCTGCCAGGAGGCCGCTGCGGCCTGCACAGGGCTGGGGGCGCCGGGCCTGCCTGCCTCTGCTCTCTTCCAGCTGTCCCTAGACTTGGTCCCTTAACTCTCATGGCCTGGCAGCCTGTAATCTGCTTGGACAGATGTGTCTTAGGGATTTGCTGGGTGCCGTGGCCTCATTTGACTCTCCAGGACAGTTGGGGATTTTGGAGCATGCAGTCAGCATGTGGAGCGAGTGCCTGGCAGGGCCTGAGCATGCCCAGTCTGTCGTGGGGTGGGAGCTGAGCCTCAGCCTTGCACCTGCTGAGCCAGAAAGCAGCACGCCAAGGGTGGCACCAGCAGGTCGTGGGGTAGAGGGAGTCCCCAACTTGCCTGGGCCCGGGAGCAGGTGCAGTGGGGTCCTGTCTGGGCCCTCTGACAGGAGCTCTCACCACAGCATTAGCCTTCAGAGCCTTAAATAACTGCTGCTTGCAGGCAGCATCGTCAGCAGAGCGCAGGTCCAGAGCTCCCTGTGCCACAGCAGTGGGGGCAGAGGGGTCTTGTGCTGGGCCCTGGTGGGAGGCAGAAGGTGGAGACCCCCCCTCCACGCCTGACCCCGTGTCTCCTTCCTGCAGATGTGCACTCCCGCCAACACGCCGGCCACACCGCCCAACTTCCCCGACGCCCTCACCATGTTCTCCCGCCTCAAGGCCTCCGAGAGCTTCAACAGCAGTAGCCCTGTGGCCTCCATGGCAACTTCCCCGCCGCCCCCGGCCCCGCCACTGCCTCAGCATGGGGCCTTCAACCCCACCTGGCCCGCAGCTTCGCCCCCCGGCCAGCAGCAGAGCATGTGGACTCCGGCCCCCCCGGCACAGCCCGCGGGCTGGCCAGCCGCCGTCTCCCAGCAGGCCACGGCAGAACAGAAGGCCAACGTGACCATGGAAGCAGAGAGATGAGGCTGTGGCAGAGAGCGAATGCAGCAGGGACCCCTGCGTATAAATATATATATATTTTTTTTTCCCCCTCCCTGAAGAGGAGAGGAACTCTGCTGCCAGGGCGTCTGGCAGCTGCTGAGACACATGAGCAAATAGCTGCCTTGCATGGGTTTGGTTTGAAGTAGTTTTTACTTGTCCTCGAGCTGAACAGAGCTCCCCAGAGACAGCGGG